TTAATTGTATTTTGTATTTGTGTTTGAATACAATGTGGAAATAACCTGCACTGACATGTTCACATTGATGGCATCCACTCCATACATCCACAGATAAGAGCTATATTTTTGATGACTATTTGTAGAACTGGAAGGTGGGTGATGATTATCCCTTGTCTTCATATTTCAGCTTTCACCAATAGCAAAAGAACTACTTTGAGCCACCTCTGCCTCACTCCTCCCAGAAAGGGGGTGGCTAACATGGTGAGTCAAAGCCTGATTTTTGGCCACAGGAAACTTTGTCTCAGGAAGCAGTAGACAAACCTTATTTCACTTCCTGACCTTTGTGCTGCAGGCTCTTGAGTTTCTTGTCCCATGTAGACCAAGAATGGTTCTGTTCCAATTTGTTTTATTTTAGCTTTTTTGCCAGGGAGCAAGTGGATAAAGGAGTTGGGTTGAAAGACTCAGGCTTGGCTGAACCATTCATTTTAGAATGAGCTATTTATTCTAGATTCCAAGAAGGGGGAAGTAGAAAGTCATGCTCAGGTGTTCCACTTCTGCCTCAGCAACAGTGGCCAGAGAAGTATATAAATTATCTATTGTTATGTAACAAATTATCGCAGAACTTAGAGGTTTAAAACAACAAACGCTTATTATCTTTCAGATTTTGCAGGTCAGGAATTTGGGGACATTTACTGGGTATTGTGGCTTAAGAAACTTCTGCAACATCCTTATAAGTGATCCAAGAAAGGAGAGGCAGAAGCCATAATGTCTTTAAAACATAATATTAAGAATGACATATCATCTCTTCTGCTATATTCTTCTGATCACACAAACCAATCCTGAGACAATGCAGCAGGGGACTGCACAAAATCATAAATACCAGGAGGTGGTGGATCACTGGTGGCATCTTGGAGGATTGCTACCCAAGCTGGAGGGTAGAGATGCTTGGTTAATAATAGATAAAGCTTTCACTTAGTCGTCCAGTTGGGTATGTGTGCATATATATATGTCCACCTGCCTATCTTGCTGACATATAGATATCTGTAACTATCATCATCATCATCATCTCTACAGACTCTCCAATACCAGTGAATAATAGAATTTAGGCTGAATTTCAAACAACAACAAATGTAGGAGAGAGAAGTTGTAACAGTACTGCTATTAGGACAGCCAATCTTTACAATCCATAAGTAAATGGTCTTTTCCATCTGTTGCTGTTTAAAGATTTAATTTAACCCAAAACTTGTACATTGAGTTTCATCTCCACTGAACATATGAGAAGACTGCCAAATACTTTGAGCAAAAAGCCAGTTCACCTAGGGAACAGAATAACATAAAGCCGACTGCCCAGGTAATCTTTGTTGCTTCTTGGAGTACATACATCTTAGCTTATTTATACATTGTAGCAGTTCTACACTAACTATCCAAGGCCTTATTTTTTAGGCTCTTCTCCAGTAGTTCAGCCCTATAGTCAGGTCTCACTGGAAGTCTTGATGTTCTTCTCAAACTCCAGATTACGTTCTGATTGAAACATCCGTTCTCTCATTCCTGATTAAAATTCTCTTAATCTTTCAAAGTCTAAGGAAAATACTATTCATGTCATGCAATCCCCCAAATAAAATGACCCCTACATTGTTCTGAGTCACCATAATATTTTCTATTGTTCTTTAGTGGTACTGGTGATGCAAATGATGAGGATAATAATTATAATAACCCAGCAGGTACAAAAAATTCAGGAGTTTCCATTACCAGGCACTGTGCTAAATAAGCACTTTATATGCTTCCTCCAACATATCAGGAATCAAGTATTGTAATTATTCTCATTTTTGGAATATGTAAATTGAGATCCAAGGCAGTCAAGTACTTTGCCTAGGACAACATGCTAACAAGCTCTAGAACAAGAACACAAATGCTTGGGTCAAAACCTATACTTGTTTAAATACCAAATCAATGGTTTTAAATTTCTATATGTTGTATGATCATTATATTTTTAGGACAATTTACTTACAAGGAAATATACAGATGTTGTGTACAATTCAATGAATTTTAATAAGATTGTAAGCATGACCCTTATTAAAATATCAAGCATCTCTATCACAGCAGTTTCTTTATGCCTTCGCTCATCAGTTTCCTCCCCCACAATAAGAGGCAAGCATTGTTTTGATTTCTAGTGTCATAGGTTAATTTAGTCTGTTTTTAAATTTCCTATAAACAAACTTGTACAGTATGTACTCTTTTGTGTCTATTTTTTTTATTGTACAATATTTCTTTAGAGTCATACATGTTGTATGTATTTGTAGTTTATTCCTTTTTATTATAGAGTCATATTCTATTATATTAATAAAACATAATTTTTTCCATTCTCTTATTGATAAATGTTTGGCTTGTTTCCAGTTTAGGGCTATTATAGAGCTGTTATGAATGTTCTGTACAAGTCTTTTTGTTGACATATGCTTTCATTTCACTTGGAAATTCCAAGGCATGGAATTTCTGGGTCATAGTACACAAATATATTTAGCTTTATAAGACTTTGCCATTGAGTTTTGCAAAGAAGTTGTACTGTTTTATCTTTCAGCAATGGATGAGAGTTCTAGTTTCTCCATATTTTTGCCAACATTTGGTGGTATCATCTTTTCTTACTTTAGCTATTCTAGTGGGTGTATTGGCCAAAGCCTGTACTCTTATCCTGATATCCCCATGGCCTTATTGTTATTTGCTTTAAACCATAATACAGTTACTTTCATACATATCTGTTTCTCCTACTAGATTGTAAACTCTCACATAGCTAAGATATTACCTTATCATTTTTATATCCTCTAAAGGCTGAATACAGTGATTGAATCAGAATAAGTATTCAACAAATTTTGGCTTGGAAAACTTTCTCTGTATTTTTGACCCCCTTTATCAACTGTAGACCAGGAGTGCTAACAGCAGTAGCCATGGTGAGAGGAAGAGTGATGATAGTTATTAACATGGCAATGTGTGTGTGTGGTGATACATCCCAGGATGCACTGGCAAGATCCAGGGTCAGCCTAAACAAAAGGAGGTTAGAAAATAAGATTCTAAGGTTTATAGTCCTCACTGTGCATCACAATCATATGGGAGAGTTCTGCAAAAATTCAGCTGCCTTGATTCCAACAGAGATGTTTGGATTTTATTTATCTGGAGGTGGGTCCTGTCATTGATCTTTTATAGATGATCCCTAGACACCTCTATTGTGAAACTAGGGTCATGAGCCACTGCCCTCAGTAGAATGGAGTGAAGAAATGACAGGTTAATCCTGACCATGATCTGCTTTATTTGTTCCTTATAGATCACAACTGAATATGTCTGCTTCCAAGAATAAGATTATTACATTTAACCATACCCATGGATAGAACTACGGTTGAATAACTGTCAACTATGCTTTATCTTTCCCCAAGTGGATGAAATCTTTGATCACCAATCATTTGTCATGCCAAAGAGCCAAAAGAATATAGTATAATTTTGCTAATACTAAAGCATTTTCTGTGGTCTCTTAATAAATTCCATTCTCTTAATAAATTCCTTTCTTGAACACATGAAATGTTTACTCCAAACATGAATTCCCAACATTGTCAAAATAATTGGGGTCTAGATGTGACAATCAATGGTAAACAAAACAGGACTGGAGGAATGTAACTTATAGACTAGCCAAGATCAAGTGTTTCATGCAAAATTAAGAAATGGAGTCAACATATTTTGAATTAACACTGAGCTGGCTGTCATAATTGAGCTAGGTCTGAGACACCTGAAGTCTAGTTCTTCCGGAGGATTTGGTTCTGAACTCCACTCCAGAGTATTCATATTTACACAGCTGCTGAAGGTGGTTCAGCAAGTCATGGCAAGACTTTGCCCCATTTGGTGACAGCAGGAGTTTTTTTAATTAGGAAAAATCTACAATTTAGAAAGTAGATTCACTTTAAAACTCCCCCATTCATTTGATTTTCTTCCCATGTGACAATTATTCTTTGATTGAGATTCTTGTGAAGTGGGCATAACAACTGGAACAATTCCTCTCAGTTCTCTGTCACTTTTCTTCCTCTCACTTTAGTCTTTGTTACTCCCTTGAAGCATAGATAGTAGTGCCAAGAGAGAGGAAAAGAAAACATAGAAAGGAAAGGAAATCAAGAGAGAAAGCTGGAGAAAAAGAAGAGAGAGGAAACAAGAGTGTATGTGTTTGTATGTGTGTGTGCACATGTGCACACACAGAAAGGAGAATTTTGATGATAGTAATGAAGAATTACAATGAGAAAATGAACCAAGAAGATCCTTGCACATCAGAGAGTTCAACACTCTTATTTTACAGATAATAAAACTGAGTAAAGGAATGGTGAAAGGATTTACACAAGGTGATGCGACAAGTCAGAGGCACAGCTAGACAATAGAACACAGTTGTCCCCCACCACCTGTTTTAAAAGTATTCCCTAATATTTACCATGTTGTACCATCAAGTCTTTAAGGGTAAATAGCCTCTGCCTCCTCCTTACAATCCAACCATACAGCTCAGAGCCTGAAAGAGCATTTTAATACAGTTGAATAGACTGCTTGTGTGTGGGGGGATGTCTGAGCATATGGTGGACAGGGTAGTGAAAAGAAGCATTATGCTAAGGAAGATCTCTTTTTACTTGACTATGACATGCAACTTAAGTCTTCATATTTTCCAAAGGCAAGTAATAGAAAAGGAAGAGTTGTAACACTTGTGATAATTAAATGGTAGTTCTAAGAGATCAGTCAGATCTTCAGAGACCATATTGCAAGACCACTAATAACATTAACACTAATGTGTTTGGGTTGCACTTAACAATCTGAGTGTTTAATGCACTTCAACCATTTGTTCTGGGTCAGCAGAGGTTAACAAATCAGTAGTGAATATAAACATAATTGTGTTTCACTAGGCCAAGCTCTCAGTTTGAAGAGCAAGAACAAAGCCCCAACAGTCATTTTTGCTTTCTTCTAGAAACAAGCAGTACATGCTGGACAAATACATTGATACTCACTGTTGTGTTTGAAAATCCTTATGGTTGCACCTGAGAGTCTGGCTCCAAGCACGAGAGATGCATGGTTTAATTCATCACTTAAAATGAGGCATCCCTGTTAAGAAAATAAGCATGCAAAACACACATCAATAAATAAAATTAAGGAGGAACAACATGTGGAAGCAGGAAGATATTTGAGACTTGAAACATAGATCTGCAAACCACTTCAGTTTTAAAAGCTCAAGAGTTTAACCCGGTGTCTATATGAATAAAATACTACATAACATTTAGATGATTGAGATGGGGATTGTTTTAAGGGACTACATATTTAGTCGTTTGTATATAATTTTCTGCAGAAAAGGTCATTTGAGTTCTTGGTTAAGCATCAGCTATCGTCTAAAGAATTGATGTTTGAGAGGAAAACTGATATACTTTTGAGTGGGTTGTGGACTTGTTGGGGCCCTTCCATCCCATGATGGCTTATTTGGGACCATTTTGGTGTATTTCTTCTGAAAGGCAGGGATCTTTTTTATAGGAAAATTCTAATTCTTATTTTTCAATTCTCATTCTTTTTTCCTTTTTATTGAATTTATTGGGGGTGACACTGGTTAACAAAATTATATAGGTTCCAGGTATACAATTCTACAACACATCATCTGTACACTGTATTGTGTGTTCACCACCCCAAGTCAGGTATCCTTCCATCACCATGAAACAGAACAGAGAGCCCAGAAATAAACCCTTGCCTTTACACTCAATTAATATTTGACAAAGGAGGCAAAAATATTTAATGGGTAAAGATAGTGTAGTATTCAATAAATGGTTTTGGGAAAAATTAGACTGATATGTGCAAAAAATGAAACTAGACCACATTCTTACACCATACACAAGAATAAGCTAAAAAATGGATTAATGACTTAAAAGTTAGACTCAAAACAATAAAAATCCTAGAATAAAACATAGGCAGTAAAATCTTGGACATCTCTCACAGCAATATTTTTTTAATGATATATCTCCTCAGGAAAGGGAAACCAAAGAAAAATAAACAAATGGGGCTACATCAAACTGAAAAGTTTTTACACAGCAAAGGAAACAATCAACAAAATGAAGACACCCCACTGAATGGGAGAACATATTTGCCAATGATACATCTGATAAGGGGTTAATATTAAAAGTTTATAAAGAATTTAAACCAAAAAATCAAAACAATCTAATTAAAAAATGGGTAACAGAGGGACCTGAATAGACACTCCTTCAAAGAGGACATATTGACAGTCAATGGACATATGAAAAGATGCTTAATGTCACTAATCATTACAACCACATTAAAACCACAATGAAACATCTTCTCACCCCTGTCACAATGGCTATCATCAATAAATCATCCAGCATTGGTGAGAACATGGAATTACTGAATCTCATTCTTCACTGTATGGATCTCCATATAACAACAGTACCACTGCTTTGCAGTTAAAAAATACTACATTTGGAAAAATATGAATGGCAATTCACTCTGAGGCAGGTGGAAAATCCCAAATTAATCTACTGCTTATAAATTACAGCTTGTAAAATGATTTTGCATTTTTAATTAAAAATTTTACTTTATGAAATTGCTCAACCATACCAAAATTGAAGAGACAAACTATGGTTGCCATTTGTCTTTCATGGCCACCCTGAATCTGTGAGTTCTTCCTTATATTTTGGAAACATAACATGTTTTAAGTTTTTGAGGCAGGAGTCAGAAACATTGCATATTCTATATTCCTGATGTGTGCAAATTTGTTTATTTTTTTTGGTGAACATTTGAGAATTACTTATAAACCTCATAATACCTCACCCTGAAGTTCTGCAGCATGTATTGATTAAGAACAAGAACATTCTAATACAAAATCACAATGCAATATGCAATACCCAAGAAATCAAACATTTATATAATGTTATCATTTAATATACTGCTCAAAGTCATATTTCCCTAGCTGTTCTAATGTGGTCTTTATGTCTTTTACAGATGTTTTATTTCCCTATGTTTTTATTCTTAGGTATTTTATTCACTACCAGCATCTGCTAGATAGAAAAGATTTAGATAGAAATTGTGAATCCTATTCACTGCATTGACTCAGTCATTTATAGTGCTTTTTATATATGAGAACCAACCCTTGTGAGTAGCCACACCTTGTAAAAATATTGGTTCTGAAGAACTTAGTCTAGTTCTAATATTTATTTATGTATTTATATGTATGTATAAATTTATTTATGTGTTTATGAGTGTATGTATGTATTTTTACATTATTTTTAAATTTTAAATTTATTTTATTTTTATTGTATTATTTCTTTCTATTTTAAAATGCATAATACAATAAAAAACCATACACTACAGTTAATTGTCATGAGTCAACTTTTTTTAAAAAACCATGTCTGGTTATGACACTTGCTTTCACTTGAAGTGAGCCAGCCAACTCCCCATTTTTTACAGAAGAATTTGGAACATTTTAATGATTTGTACTGCAAGACTTTTTGCAATTTGGCCGCTGCCTTTATTCTGGGCTCTTCTTCATCTACTACCCTATACTCTAGTTTTTCCCAAACTGGGCTTTTATGCATGCTGTTTTTTCTTCCTTGTCAGAAGAAAATAACTTACCTATCTTAACAGATAAGCAAAAGATTCAGTTCTAATGTTACCCACTTTACACAGGCTTTCTCAAGAACAATTTGGGGGCAACTTTTTGTCCTTCTCCATGTATATACATGCCTGTTCTGTTTTAGTCATCCTATTTTATTTGGTGTGTTTTTCTCTCACTAGAATGTAAACTACATAAATTTACAAGGCACAGATCCTGTTCATCTTTGATGTCTTGTATCTTACCTCACAACTGGTATAGTAGATTCTCAATCAGGGATTTATTAGATGAATTAATAAATAAATTAATGGTACAAGCACAAAGTTTTATTCAAATAAATGCAAAATATGTTTTGGCTACATTACAGAGCCAAAACATATTATGCACTTTGGCTACATTACAGAGCCAAAACATATTATGCACTTATGCATATAATGGTCACTTGAGAGCTTAAGAATTTAATTGGGTTTGATAAACCATCATGGAAGATGAAATTTGACTAACATCTGGGCTGTAATTCTGTAACCGGAGTATTGTGATGAAGAGATTTTCTGAGCTAAGATGGTACATATATTTAAAAAGCTAGACACCCCATATGTTTTTCCTCAGAAAAGGACCTTCTGAGCCATACCTCTAACAAAGGACCCTCTTAGAGTTATAATTCTTAGGAATAATACAGCAGAAGACAATTATGTTAACAAATTCTTACCTTTCCTACTAGAGCAGGAATATTCATTGAGTTAGTTGCAAATCCCATCCCAAAGACCATGGCGGCTTCTACATTCAGGAACTTAGCCACAAGGTCCTCCAACTCTTCATGCTTATTCAAGGTTCCTGCACATGAAATAATATGATGAGCAAGTCTTCCTTCAACAAGTCCAAGAATGAAAACTCAAATCTCACTACATACCCATCTCCAAAATACCTAGATAAGAGTGTGCACGGCAGGTATATTTGCTATAGTTCCAATGTAAAACAACCCAAATGTGTATCTACTATAAAATGGATAAATGCATTGTGGGGGTATTTATATAGTGGAATTCAACATAGCTATGAGAAAGAACAAATTACTGCCCCATACAACAACATAAAAAAGTCTGTCTCACAATTTGGTGATTGAGTGAAAGAAGTCAGACACATATACAGGCTGTATGAGTCTATTTACGTAAAATTTAGAGACAACTAACTGTAGTGTTGGAAGTCAGGATGGTGGTTTCTTTTATTGGGAGCATGAGAAGAGCTTTGAGATTCTCTAAGTATTTTATTTCTAGATGCGGGTGCTCATTTCACAGGTGCGTTTGCTTTGTGAAAATCTATTGAGCAGTATACTTGTGATTGGTGCACTTTTTCTATGTAAGTACCTTATAATACAATAAAAATTACAGAAAAATGCCACAATTTCTCTCTCTCCATACTCTACATCCTGCAAATAATTAAATTACTCAAAGGTTCCCCACACTTAAATGTAAACAGATCCCGTGACTTGTGTGAATACTAATAACATTAGTTATACTTTATTGAATTTTTGGAATGTGCCAGATTTCAAAGCTCACTATTTAAGTTATATCATTTAATCTTAATAGCCCAGTAATGCAGGTAGTATTACTTTATAATTTAGAAAGCTAAAGTGTAAAAAAGGTAAAAGAAAAAAGCAACAGAGATAATCTAGTCTAACTCCAAAGTTCATGTGTTTACCTTCTGCTATCATTTATATGCTTACTCTCTAACCCTTTTTTACACACAATCCCCTCCTGCCTTGCTGAGAGTAAGCCTAGTGCTCCCAGTTTTCCGTGTGCCACCACTCTGACTTCTAGGTCTGCAGTGCCCCATCCAGTAGCCTCGGATTATGTGTGGTTAGTGAAATAGAAACACTGAGTTTTAAATTTTATTTAACTTAATTTAAATGTTCATACTGAAGCATTATAAAATACAGGGTCCAGCACAAATAACACCCCTTTGTTATTGCAACATCTTTATTACAAAATCATAAGCATGTAATTCTGTAACATAACACTATCACACTCAAGCACACCATATGTCATTTTAGGTGAAGTGTTCAAATTAAAACTATAAATTATTATACCCATATTATTACTCTATCAACCACACTCAAGCAGGCCTTACTTCTGCTGGACCCTGTATTTTCCACTAAATGCAACTTTATTATTTTGATAGGGTTACATTCCACTTGTTTCACTTTGCTCAATGAAAATGTAATGTCTGAATTGAGATGTGCTATAAGGGTGAAATATACACCATTTTTAGGGTGTAGTACAACACAAGTAATGTAAAATAGCTCATCAATATTTTTATAGCGATTACATGTTTAAATGATATTATTTCAGATATATGGGTAGAGAATATAAAGATGAATTTGAAACTTTTAAAAATGTCTTAAATTTTCTACTAGAAAATTTTAAATTAGAGGCAAATTGCATCATATTTTTATTGGACAGTACTGCTTTAAATGATACTCTTAACAGAACAGAAAAATGTACAAGTGGAGAGATGCTGTAATTTGGAATGCAGGAGCCAGATTTAACTCAAATTTAAGTTAAAGCAATATTGTTAGCATATTCAGAAATATTATAAACATGCTTCTTTAAACATAATGGTCAACATATTTTACTAAACATAATGTGATATCAGAAATTACTTAAATTGGTAAATTAGCTTGCTTACTATGCTCAAATGGTGAGGTGTTAAACTGTAGAAGGCACTGAATGGTTCAGTTTAATTTTGCAGTTAATATGGAAATTGACATTTGATGTTCAATCTTTGTCTTTCCTGAGAAATCACACTGTCATCTAACAGATGGCTGGAGGTCTTTCTTCTCAAACCATTAATTCTTTTTTCAAGTGTCAGAAACATTAGTAAAGCAAGTATTCCAGCAAAGTCAATTTTACTCAAGTTTTGGGGGGAAATGTTAAAACTTTAAATTGTAATTTGAAACTTTTTTATTATCAAAGATATACTATGGAATAAAAAGAGAAACCAAAATTTAAAGATAAACCATGGTCACATAATTATTTGTCAGATTTGTTTTTATCTAACAGAGAATGCATCCCAAATGAAGTGGCCCCAAGAATACATAGTGAAAAGACCACTGTCCTGGACACAAGAAGACTTGGGTTCTTGTTTCAGCTTTTTTACTAAACAGCTGAGTGGACTTGCAGTTCCTGGAGAGGTTGGGAAAGGTGCCGTTGTAGGTTTCCCTGACACTGGGCATACTCTTTCCTCCACATCTGTCTTCTTGCAGCACCCACTCACTCTTTGAGATCCACCAAACAATGACCTCTTCTCTGGGATTCTGTTCTCAGCTTTCCCAGACAAACTTGGTCATTATCTCTTCTGAGATCACATAATGCTTATAGCATTTATTAGGTTGAACTGCGGATGTTCCAGGGGCAATCTTCTTTATTACAGAAGAGCCCTCAAGGTATGGACACTGTGTTTAAAATATTCTTTTTGGTTACCGTAGTTCCTATGCAATACTGACACATAATAAGTGCTTGTTGAGTTGCATGCTGTCTTCTGATGGAGAATGAAGACTGAACCGAGCCTAGAGTATTTGATGGCACAGGGGAGAAGGCCAAGAACCATGTGACACTAGGGCAACAATGTGGCGAGGCAGTGAGCACCAGTTTGAAAATACCTATATCTGAAAAAGGCCTCCAGCAATGCAGGTCAATAACAGTCAGAGATCGGTAGTGACAAGGGCTCTGCAAATTGCTATGTTGTGCATGTATTGACACTTGTTCTCAGCCTGAAGGTTTATCCAATGGGACACTGAATAAAGGAATAAATACGAGCTCGGTGTATTCTCTTGAGAGTTCTCAGCGTTATTTCAGGTGCCAAATACTGAGTTTGCTACTACCAGTCAAATCAATAAAAATCAGATTCAGGATAAAAGTACCAACACTATGCTTATGGATGATGTACTTCTGCTGGATTTTGCTGACATCAACTGGCTAATAAATTTTAGTTAGAATGTATAGATTTCTATGTTGACACTTGATTAATAGTAAAGAGTGTGTCTTCATATTGACACAGATTAATAGTAAAGAGTGTGGGTATTACTAACAATATTGTTTCACAACCACCATTCTTCCTGCGTGGCACATATGAGGATTATCTTCAACACTGTGACTGTAGTCACTTTTTGTCCAGAGTATTTTGTTTGTAGATTGTCCCTTAGACTTGACCTAGGAGTGGGTTATTATTTATCATGGCAACTGGCCAGCTGGATCACCTGGCTGTCCTAGTTACACTGTGATGATCAGCACACATCTGAGCCACTTGTGCTTGAACTGGTGATTCCTGCTAAAACCAACATCAATGCTTCTACCTGAAGAATCCTACCTTCCAGCTCATCACTCAAAAGCTCTTAGAATACCTTGCTTTCTTTCTTATTCCACTGTGTCCAGTCTGGTGTGGGTTATAGAGCTACCATGCCTCTTTAGTAGCTTTGTTTTTCTGTAAAACATTCAGAATAAGTGTGAAAAAGCCACATGTGGTAATTGAAATGGGTCTAGAACATGCTTTTATACTGTACATAGGCCACTGCTGTGGGGTTAAGAGAACTCCCATTCTTATGAAATAGAATAAACAACTTTTGTCTGCCCACACAGGCCTTCATTTTAAACAAACCATTTTCTATCTCTTGGCTGGTTAAACCATTAGTAATAATTAGAATCTGATACAAACAAAAAGCTTAAGTGAGCCATGGAAATATAATCATTATGACCCTTTCTGCCACAAAAAAATCCTAATAAAAGAAGAATTTTTAAATAGACCAAATGACCTCTATCTCATCTCTGTTATCATGCTCAATAAATTCATGTTCTTACCCTTCTACTTTCTTTTTTTATAATGTTTTATTTTTGTGTAATTTCAGCCCTACAAAATAGTTGTAACAATAGTACCAATAATCTCTAGATACTTTTCACTCAGATTTCCCAAATGTTATTATTTTACTATATTTTCTTAAATATATCTCCCCGTCCATGTATGCACATATGTCATATATAAATGCACACACATATAAATGTACATAAATATTACATATATATGTATTTTTTCTGAACTACTTAGTATACTGAAATCATGATGTCCCATTTATCCCTGAATATTTCAGCATATAATTCCTAAAAACAAGAAATTATCTTATGTAATTATAGTACTATTATCAATACAGTAGTATTATTTATTGTATAGAACTAATTCAGATTTGATTCTCTCACTATTAAATCCAACCCCTAGAACAAAACAGGTAGAAGAAAGTATAATGAAGTAACTTACAATGTGTATCCACTAAGGTACCATGATCATTTAATTTAATTATTGCACCTGCACAAACTCTATGAAATAGTCATCCTTGTTCTTACTTTATCAATGAGAAAATACATACAGAAGCAATGTCACTCGTCTAAAGGACACAGCTAATAAGTGCAGGCTACCTACTTAATGACATGTCAGCCTACTATGCTACATACTTCAAGATTCATCTCAGCTAAATGTCATACACCTTTTTGAGGGTAGTTCTGCTATTATCCCAATTAAGCAGATAAGGACATCGATGATAGAGACTCCCCCAAGGTTACATAGTTAGTAAGCCAGGAACCAAGATTTAGATGCAGCATACCCAAGTCTAGAGAAAGAGCTCTTTGTCACTGTTCCATGGCAGTTTCCAGTCTGGCCTAAGGAGTCCTAAGCATCTGTATGTTTATAAAGATTTATTGCTAAGGAAATCACAGGGCAATTTGAAATAATAACTTATACATGTCCTTTTTAAATAGCTCTTTTTCTTCCATTTTTTTTGTAGGTAACCAGGA